TTTTTCCATCCTTTGAGTTTTAGTTTGTTTGTGTCTTTAAGTCTAAGGTGTGTCTCTTATAGGCACCATATAGATGGATCGTGTTTTTTTTAATCCAATCTGCCACCCTCTGTCTCTTTATTGGTGCATTTAATCCATTTACATTCAGCATAATTATTGATACGTATGAGTTTAGTGCTGTCACTTTGATGTCTTTTTGTGTGTGTTGTTAACAGTTTCTTTGTTCCACTTAATTTTCTGTGCTGAGTCGTTTTTCTTTATGTATTTTCTTTTCATCTTTTTCATTGTTGTCGACTTTGTCTTTGCTGAGTCTTTATATTTTTCTAGTTTTTCATTTTGACTGGTAGGATTGTTAGTTTCCTTTGTGGTTACCTTAATATTTACCCCTATTTTTCTAAGTTTATACCAGTCTTTTATTTCTTTATATCACCTTGACTTTCTCTCCATATGAGAAATCTATGTCTACATTTTTTAAGTTCCTCTGTTTTGTTTTAATGTTGTCATCTTTTACATATTGACATCTGTTTGCCTATTTTCAGTGTTTTAGCTTTGATTTAGTTGTGTGACTTCCCTATCTGGGTTGATATCTGGTTGCTCTGTCCTGTGTTCTATTCTTGGGTTGTTATCTGATGGTACTGATTTTCTAATCAGAGGACTCCCTTTAGTATTTCTTATAATTTTGTTTTGTTTTTTACAAATTACCTAAACTTCTGTTTATCTGGAAATACCCTAATTTCACCATCTATTTGAGAGAGAGTTTTGCTGGATATATAATTCTTGGCTGGCAGTTTTCTTCGTTCAAGGCTTTATATATGTCATCCCATTGCATTCTCGCCTGCATATTTTCTGCTGAGTAGTCCAATCTTATTCTTATTCACTGTTCTTTGTAGATGACTTTTCGTTTATCGCTAGCTGCTCTTAAAATTCTTTATCTTTAGTTTTGGCAAGTTTGATTATAATATGTCTTTGTGACTTTCCTTTGGGATCTACCTTATGTGGGTTTTGATGAGCATCTTGGATAGATATCTTCTCATCTTTCACGATATCAGGGAAGTTTTCTGCCAACAACTCTTCAACAATTCTCTCTGTGTTTTCTTTTATCCCCTCCGTTCTGGTACTCCAGTCACTCATAGGTTATTCCTTTTGATACAGTCCCACATAATTCTTAGCGTTTCTTCATTTTTTTGAATCCTTTTATCTGATTTTTCCTCCAATAAGTTGTTGTCAAGTGCTTTATCTTCAGTCTCACTAATTCTGACTTCCATTGCCTTAATTCTGCTCCTGTGACTTTCTATTGAGTTGTCTAATTCTGAAATTTTATTGTTAATCTTCTGGATTTCTGATTGCTGTCTCTCTGTGGATTCTTGCAGCCTGTTAAATTTGTCATTCTGCTTTTCTCTAATCTTTTCAATTTCCTCTATTGCGTGTTCTGTATTTTGATTAATTTCCTTCCTAATTTCTTGAAGAGTTCTCTATAT